TGTACAATTCAGTTTTTATTTTGCTAGATTCGAACGATTTATCGATTGAAATAAAGATATATGGATTGGAGTTTATATTTTTTATGGTATGTTTTTATATATAATAAGTTAGATTTCATAATTTTTGTTAATGTTATTCTAGTATAATTAGCTGGAGTTTTTATTTTTGTTTGCTTCATGTGTATTATGCTGGAAATGCTACTTATGAAGCGCTATAAACCAATATATTATAATGGAGAAGCTTAAAACAATGGAGAAGTTATATCCAGAATAATTTGCTGGACTTAAAGACTTTAAAATTTTTCTTCCTGTATATTATCCTGGAGATATATCACTTGAAAGTATTTGCTGTAGTATTTTATCCTCGATGTGTACAATCCATTTTTTTTTGCTGGATTTGAAGCGATTTATTGATTGAAATAAAGATTAACGGATTGGAGTTTATATTTTTTATGGTGTATTTTTATGGATAATAAGTTGGATTTCATAATTCTTGTTGATGTTATTCTAGTAAAATTAGATAGAGTTTTTTGTGTTTGTTTGGTTCCTGTATATTATGCGGGAAATGCTACTTATGAAGCTCTATAAGCCAGTATATTATAATGGAGAACGGTAAAACAATGCAGAAGTTGTATCCATAACAATTGGCTGAAATTAAAGACTACAAAATATTTGGTTCCTGTATATTTGGTTGGAGATCTATCATTTGAAATCATATTATCCAGTATTTTATCATGGATGTATACAAAACTTCTTTTATTCTTTTCATAATCACTTCCTTTATATAATGTATTTGATGATGTATGTTCATTTGTAAGCCAGTAAGTTTTGCTTCAAAACCAGAGAAAAATACTGTATAAAATATTGCAAAACAAAAATAAAATACCAGTATAATATGCTGGAGCTTTTTGAATTGATATGTAAAACTCATAAACTTTCATGCATAATATACTCGATCTGTTAATGTACTAAATTAGTATAATATACTAGATAAGTATATTATAAGCAGGATAGTATGATATTATAGAAGAAACAAAGATTACGGTCATTTTGACTTCAAATCAAGAAACAAAAAAAATAGACACTAATAATATTTTGAGAAACAAGAATCCCGAGCAAATTATTCTGGATTACAATTAGTTTTTTGAATGAGCATATGCAACCTTATTCTATATAATCAATCATTCTTTTTCCTGTATTTTCTTGCATAAGGATGAAAAACTGCTGAATTTGTGCAATTTTTTCTGTTATGCCCATATCTTTTACAACGACCACATCTTGATTCCTGTACAGGAAACATGTCGATTCTTCTGTCTTCTTCCTAGAATAACTTTTGCCTCTGGAGGCTTAGTGATTTCTGATTTAATAGTATCTAGTATAACCCATGTTGTTGAATCACCTGCAGAATTTACTTGCCCTTCATATGTTTTTAACCAAAAGTTCCTTGTATAATAGGCGGAGTAGAAAGTCAATTTTTTTTATATATATACTGTCAATTGCAGCAATTACATGTTCACAGGGTATCTCATCTAGCTGAAATTCAGAACAATCACATGTTCTTTTGTCTAGATCAACAATAAATTCCATACCTCCATCTTTGACTTTGAATTTGAGTCGATCAATGGGCAATACTCTAAATGTAAAAGCTGGTTTAATTTTATCTTCCAATGTTGCTTCTGCCCAGTTTGATAATTCATGGAATATTCCTTCTACTGCTGTCCTTCTTTCATAGAACCAGATTTGTAATTTTTCTTGTATGAAATCCATCATTGTTAAAAGTGACAATTCTCTTGCACCTCTCAAAACATTATTAATTGACTCAAAAATATTTGTTGTTAGCATATCATATCGTCGTCTTGGACAATGTGAACGAGCCCATCTTCCTGGTGGTTCCTCCATCAAATAGTCCAATATTTTCTTAACAACAACAACTATTTGGGACATAAAGTCATCAAATTCTGATTGAATGTATACTCTTGCAGCACTTTAAAACATGTTTATTACAATGTTTCTCACTCTTCTTTGCTTTAGATTCTTCTCTAAATGATATATGCAAATACCATGGTAGCACTCAGGGAAAACTTTTGCAATTCCGTTTTCAATGGCCTTGTGTGGATCTGACAAAAATATTAAATCTTTACGAATACTAATTGCTTTTCTTAATTCTCTGAAGTACCATTCATATGATTCATTATTCTATGAATCCGCTACCCCAAATGCTATAGGAAAAATCTGGTTATTTGCATCCTTTGTAACTGCCACTAATAGAATATCTATATATTTATTTTTTAGAAATATTCCATCAACAACAATAAGTGGTCTACAATACTTTCACCCAGAAATTGCCGCCTCATACATAAAAAATATGTAAACAAACCTGTTACATTGAAAAGTAAATAAAATTTAGTTTTACGATATGACAAGCTAAATACTAAAGGATATTAGCAGATGTGTGGCCACAAACACAAGAAATTTACCTGTTTTCTGCATCTCTCTTAATATTAGTATATGATCCTGGATTTTTTTGTTCGATCATATATAAATATGATGGCAGTTGCTCATAATTTTCTTCTGTTGTTCCTCTTAATAAAGATATACCTTTTTGAATAGCACGTCATGCTTTTCCATAACCAACATCTATTCCATGTGCTCTTTTCATTTTTGAAATGATAAACTTAGGCTTTATTTCAGTAGCTATGTCTCTTAAGTTGTCAATCATGTAATCTCTAATCACATTTGAAGTTGCTTATCTTTGATGTGACTTTCTAATGTCAACCGAGCATTCATATGTTCTCTGAAATTTAACTATTTTAAAAAGTGTTGATTCCTTAATTCTTGAACCTCGAACAATCCAATCACACTTTTCATCAGTACATACCAAAGAGTATCTTATATTACTTAATTTTTTAACATAGAACTCAAAGTGCTCCTTTATTACTGCTAAGCAAAAACATCTAATCATAGCATTTTTGTCTTGAAAAACAGACCCCAGTTTTACATCATCCAATGATGCATTTTCCTTTAGTATTATTGATGAGGATTCTTTTGCCTTTCCTTTTGCTTTCCTTTTTCTCCCTTCAATTGTGTCTAGTGTTTTAAAGTATTGATCTTCTACAGGAATTACACTCTCATTTTTCATTGTAATTTCATAAATTGGAATGTCTTGCTCTTTTGGTATTTCAGAAATTAGCATCAGTTGCTCTTCTGGAACATAGGTGGTTCCCTTCAATAATTGTTGATTGTCAATCTCCATTATTGCATTACCTTCTTGTTGTTGATCTCTAATAAAGTTTTCAGAAAGTATTTCTGATATATCAACAACAAATTTGGAACCTTTGTAGTATGGATCGTTTCTTAAAAGCATCATACATGAAGTAAGTTCTTCATCTTTTGTCACATGTATTCCCTTGCCAGTACCTAGATTGATATTAAGTCATACTGTTCCTGTCGAACTCCATAAATTGAAAAATTTTATTCACGAATTCGTCAAATGAAGTCCCATCATTTATAAGCAGAAGTTTTATTTTATGATCTAAATACTTGTAATCTGGTGTCCATTTGCCATCGAAAGCAATATTCAAAAAATTTGTATGCATCCTGCATTTAATGTACACAAATAATTAGATATTAGGAATTTTATGAGTTTTATATATGAATTCAGAAAGCTCTAGTCTATTATTTGAATCACAGATATTTCCAGTATAATAAGCTGGAAGATTCTGTATTTTTTATATTAATTAAGACAAGTCCAGCATATTATACTGAGGTTATCTTTTTGCACCATTTGATGTATTGTCTTTTCTGGTTTTGAATTAAAGATCCCTCCAGTATTATATGCTGCACAATTTGTATCTTTCACATATGTAATCATAAAAGTTTAGCATTTTATTCACAACATTAGGGAAGCATTAAAAATTTAGATGTGTTTCTTCTGGTTTGAATCACAGATACTTCCAGTATAATTTACTGGTATTTTCTGAGTTTTACATATTAAATTAAGAAAAGTGCAGTATTTTATACTGGTGTTTTGTTCTATACCATTTTATTCATATTTTTTTGTAGTAGTTTGAATGAAAGATACTTCCAGTATAATACATTGGAATTTTATGAGTTTTACATATTAATTCAAAAAGCTCCAGCGTATTATACTTGTGTTTTGTTCTGGTTTTGAATCAAGCACTATAACACCATTTTATACAGTATTTTTTTCTGATTTTGAATTAAAGATACCTCTAGTACTATATGCTGCACACTTTATAGTTTTGACATATGTAATCATAAAAGTCTAGTATTTTATTCAAGACATTAGAGGAACCTTAAAAACTTAGATGTGTTATTCTTATTTGAATCACATATACTTCCAGTATAATCAACTGGACGTTTCTGAGTTTTAGATATTAATTAAGAAAAGTCCAGCATATTATACTGGCTTTTTGTTCTGCACCATTTTATGTTATTTTTTGTGGTTTTGAATTAAAGATACCTCCAGTACTATAATATAAATTACTTTAAATTAAATTACATTTATATATTATACAATTAAGCACAGAATAAAGGTTTTTCATATAAAATTTATAATAATATCAGAACAATGTAGATTTTATTATTTACGATCTGAATTATAAACAAGAAGATATATCATACAATTAAGCACAGATTAATGCATTGAAAAAATTCAAGATTAGCACAGATTAAAGCATTGAGATCAAACCAGAAAATTCGAAGAAAGAGAAGAATAATTGAGAGCTTACTTCAATCTGTACATTATGCCGCAAGATTCATAGAGTGTGAGGTCGTATTGCGTAAATTTATAAATAGAGTAGGGGTAAATTTAGTCAATAACACTTTTCCGTACTAATTTAGTGGCTAAATAAGGTTGACTTTTGATTATGTGGCTAAATTTGATTGACCAGGCTTAAAAATGGCTATTTATGAATTTTTCGCCTAAATTCGGTGGACTATTTGGGTAACCCAACTGAATAAATTTTGGGCCTTAACCGAAGCAGCCAAGAGTTACCCGTCCATAGCAGATTCACCAGTTATTTTCACAATATCTCCTTTTCTTGTTCTCCAAACCTTGGCTATTTTCACAATCTCTCTTTCCGATTCCGAACTTTGCCTTTTCAGCTCATCATCTGCAGCAAGTAAGTCCCTACTAAGAACTTTAATTTAAGGGTTTTAAGTTTCTTACCGATTCACAGTTCCATTATACTGCATTCCTGTCTTTAACATTTGCTCTGTGGGTAGGTTTTATTTGGAGGTAAAATGACGGCTAAGGCAACAATGGATGTTCCCCAAAAAGGTGGGTTTAGTTTTGATCTATGTAGAAGGAATGAGATGCTGGTCAATAAAGGACTCCGTGCTCCTTCTTTTCTCAAGACTGGTACTACCATCGTCGGCTTAATTTTTCAGGTCCGTTCCCCTTTTTACTTTGCTAAAAATTTCGATTTGGGTTAGTTTTAGTTTGTGTTTTATGTGTCTATTGTTGGATTACGTAAGTTAAAGGTCCTTACTTTGGAAAAAATTTCAAAATTTAATGGTTTGATGTGATGAATATTTCTGCAAAGAATAAAAAAACTACAAGCAACGCTTTCAGTATTAGGGTTGTAGCCCCAGGGGCAGGGGCACAGGATACGTAATATTCCTGCTTTTCGTCCAGATCAACGAGTCAACCATGCCTCACCCCAAAATTTGTTGGGTCGGCTATATGAATCTCCTATCTGTTCTACATTATTGGGTTCATTTCATTCCAACACTAAATCATTTTCCTTTAAAGGTAAACTAGGGGTTCTCGGAAAACAAAGGATTCTTTTCCTTTTTTTTTATAAGTAAAAACAAAGGATTATAACATGGTCAGTGATGATTCATACAACCCACCTAACTTGTTTGGGATTGAGGCTTAGTTGTTGTTGTAAGTAAAAACAAAGGATTCTTGATCTCACACAATTTTCATGTAGACTTCTGAAAATATGGAATACGTTACCATAACTGACCATTATTATCTATTAAGTGATCATTATTATCTATATTCCTCCCGAGCTTCAAGACCGGAAAGCTTATTCATATCAACATAATAAACATAGATTTATTCATATCCCAATTCCACTCACTCTACTCAATGTTTTCATTTCAAAGTCTTCTCTTTCTAAGTATGATATGCTCTGTTAATCTGATGTAGCAAGATCGTGAACCTCCTACAGCTTACCACATGTGTATTAAAAATAGAGAAGCTATTTTTCTTGCTAAAAAGTGAGATGTATGCCTCAAGCTGTGAAGCGAACGCCTTATAGGACTTATTTCTTTTAATGTGCTAAAAAATTCAATATGATCAATGATTCGGAAAAAAATGGAAAAAATAAAAAATAAGCGAGAGAAGCTACATTGATGAAAGTTGTGGTCAAAAGGGAGAGAGGATCCGGCATGAGGGGAAAGGCTGCTGCTTTTTGCAGATTAGGACACGCACTTTGCTTTTCCTTAAATACATAAATAAACAGAGAGAATTTTAAATGATCTTATGATGGAAACACCTCTTATTAATTGGCTAAGGTAAAAAATGAAGTAAAAATTTGAAGGCCTCACTCAAATATGGGCACTCCTTGTAATAAGGGTGTAAAAGCGTCAGACCAAAACCATACAGGTGAAGGCCTCACTCAAGAAAGATAACTCCTCAGCATAGTTTCACCTCTGCCATGCATAAGGCATGTTGGCAATGCCTCTTGCATTGTGGTGTGCTTATATAACACTGCTCAGACCTAATTTAGTGCAAAGGAATTTATTATATTTACAGAGCAAAAAAGAGGGAGCGAATTTTGTTCTCCTCATCTGGCAATTCAGAGATGTTTGGAATCTAGCACATAAGTTGTGAAATGAGAACCATTAAGAGCAAAGATGTCTTAACATTATAGTGGTCCAAGCTTACCTTGGTTTCGTTTGACTACATTCATAAGAAATTCTTCTCAAAATAGTGTTGTGCTTTAGTTAAAATAGCAATAGAATCATATGACATCATAGAGATCATACAATTTCTTGAAATTAATTATACTGTAATAGTTCAACATAATCAGCAACTGACTAGAGCGTACAATATGGTGACTCTTGAGCTGGTTGCTTCTATGATCTGCATTCTTTTGCGTTGCTAAATAATTTAGTTCATCCGACCAGAAGTTTGACATCAACAATACTGTGAAAAAGGAGGAAAAAACATATTAGAATGTCATTTAATGCTGCATGGATTTCCTTGTAAGTTCTTGGTCAAAAAAATGTATTTCGTTTAATAGTCTAACCATACGCATGAGTCGTCTGCAATCTGTGTTCTTTTTAGGCTGAATACATATTTTGCCCCCTGGGCTTGAGGCCTTATTCTTGTGACAACCATGTCAACCACGGGTAACCTTTTACACACTCACAATTGTGTCTGAGACATACCACTTTTGACCAGACCACTCCTTCTTGGAGATTGTATCACACTGGCCAATTAAAGCATGACACGTGTCATAGCTCAAGGAAAAAAAATATCTAATTTGCACCCCAAATGGCCCAAAAAAAAAGAATAATTTAGAGTAGAAAAACATAAATGAATCCCCTCCCCCACCCGCCTCCTCTTCTTCCAAACCCCACTTTTGATCATCTTCTTCACCTCCTTCCCCAAAGACAAATTCCAAACCCTCCTCTCCACCAACCCACTCCTTCTGTTTGCTTACCTCTATTATAGTTAGTTTTAGACCCCATGAAAACTCATCAATAATTTCAAGAAATTCATCTCACCCAAAATCAGAAATACTCAAAAGACTATTTGTTTTTCCAGATCTGTTCATTCAATCAAGAATTGGAACATAGTCCTGTTTTCTTCTCAAAAAGTCGTGTTTCTGGTAAACAAAGAAAAATAAGTAAAAGATAAAATTCATCTTCCTAATCTAGAATTGTGATAAGACAGAGGACGAAGATCTTTCAAATCTTGCCGGTGATAATGGTGGATTCATCGCTGTCGGATTTTGGCCTCATTAGCTTCGTCGGTGATTGATTTTAATGGCCGAGTAGTAGTTATAGAGGAGCCTACTCACTTACCAATCATGCCTATTAATTATGCATGGACTTTGATCTTATTTATTAATACCAAGAATCTGATCTTTCAAAAAAGAAAAGAATTTAAAACTTTTGCATCTGAAAGTTGAAGAAAGAAGGGAATATGACATTATGGTATTTTTGAAGGAGGACGGTTGTGTTAATAGACGGTGGCCGGTGGTCTTGATGGAAGAGGGCTAGCGTTAGGGAAGAAGAAATTAAAGAAAATAAGGAAAATAAAAGAAAAAATTGGAAACCAATAAAATTTTGACACATGGCACTTAATAAGGATTGGGGCCAATATTTACCGATTGTATGCGCTCATTTTTTTTGTTAAACAAGTGCGCACCACCTGGAAAAAGTGATTTGTATCTAAGTTGCTCGGACTCGGGTGCGGGTATCCGATACGGGCACGGATCCGAGTGTCGGATTTGGCAAAATCTAAATTTTAAGATTCGGGAGTGCGGATCCAGATATGGATACGGGTGTAGGGATTCAGCTATGAAAATTCAAAATTATAAAAAATAGAGCTATAAAGAGAAAAAGAAAGCCATCAATGCCTTCCACCAACTCTTCATCGCTGCTACTGTCTACCAGAAGTCCGAATCTGAACTTGACCCCTTGCATTCTTGGTTTTTAGTATCCGAAGTTAGTTGACCGAATCCGGGACGTATCCCGCACCCGCACCCGTCCCTTGTCTTGACAAGTGCGGCACCAAAAACGAAGAGTCTGCGCAACTTAGGTTTGTATTAGACACACTTTGAAAAGGTTGGGTGTGTAAAGGGTTGCCGTGTTCGATAGGTGTGTACATGGATTTGGTCTCAACATCAGGGGTAAACTATGTATTCTGCCTTCCTTTTACTGTAAGATGCTAGTGTAGAAAACTGAAGCTTAGTTCTGTCTGTGCTTTCTTCAGTCGGATTAGAATTCATCTACATACGTTACCAAACGCCATAGTTGATTTTTTTAAATGATGAAATCTCGCACTTTTGAGTTTTGGTCAGTTGCCTAGCAAGAGAGGAAATTATGTAGGGACTATGCATATTTTTCTACTTAAATAGCAGGAAGCTTGAGGAAAAGCTGTTGATGAGGTCACAAAGCAGAAGGTAGTCTTTCAAGATCCAGAAAAGAACATCATACTTATTGAGAAAATAAAGACGGGCATCATGATGTAGGTCATTGTCTGGAATTGAGACCCGGTAGTTTCTACTTTGTGGTATTAACTTCATTCAACTGATTATACTTCTCGGTTTAGTTTAACTATCTATAAACACATTTAGGTTGCCTTCCAGAGAATGAAATTAAAATAGTAATGCTGATAAAAAACTGAATAAGAGTTATTTGCATTTCAATGAATAGTACTTCTCAAAGATTGCTGCTCCTTCCCATCTTTCTCTTCTTTCCCTCTTCTGTTGTTTTTATGGACAATTTGGCTTTTATCTGTAGTGCTCTTATTGATTTTCCATGAGCCCTTGCATGATGAATCAGCAGACCTTGGAAATAGTGCCTAATTGACATATTATAACATGCTTGTTAGAAAATGTGACATTTTGGGGTTACTTTATCTGTTCGATTATGCACAAGTCATGCAGAATCTGGAATCGTAGCCCTTAATCAACTTCTTGAGCATGATTCTTGTTCAGGATGGTGTTATCCTTGGAGCGGACACACGGGCAACTGAAGGGCCAATTGTTGCAGATAAAAACTGTGAGAAAATTCATTACATGGCTCCTAATATATATTGCTGCGGAGCTGGGACAGCTGCTGATACAGAGGCGGTTACTGGTAATGAGCTTTATATCCGTATTCTAGCAGTTTTTGGAAATTGTTTGCAATAGACCTTCTCCTTTTAAGTTTCCAATCCGGTTCTCTCTCTCTCTCTCTCTCTCTCTCCCCGCTCTATGTCATCTCTTAATGTTAATTTAGAACTGTTATTCTCTAGACATGGTCAGTTCCCAGCTGAAGCTTCATAGGTTTCACACTGGTCGTGAATCCAGGGTTGTGACAGCTCTTACTCTTTTGAAGTCTCACCTTTTCAGGTAAAGCTTCTATTGTTAATGTTCCTAATAGGCATAGTAGTGTCTTCGAGTGCATTAAAAAATCAATCCTAGAAGCCTAACTATGTTCTCTTTACCAGCTACCAAGGCCATGTCTCAGCTGCTTTGGTCCTTGGTGGTGTGGATGTCACAGGTCCCCATCTGCATACTGTAAGTAGTCTTCACATTTATATTTGTGTATAAGTATGTATATAAATGTATGTGGGCGTGTGTGTGTATATATTTTTCCGCATTGTCATCAAAGTTCCACTATTTGGTCAATTGATCGCCTCTCAGATTTATCCACATGGATCAACTGATACTCTGCCATATGCCACAATGGGCTC